ATGTTGGGGAGAAGGGAGGGAGTAATGGTAAAATAAGAAGTCAGTTCACAATCATTTCAGTGAACTCCAAAAAGGTGAAATAAGAAGTTTAACTAGATCAGGATTGCAGAAGAGTATTCCAGTCCTGATCACTATTACCAACAAAAATTAAAGTGATCCTTAAGGAAAAGATGAAAAAAACAAAAAGGGTAGAGTGAGCACGATGAAACTTCAGCCTCAAAAAAACTATAAGGAATACTTGCCTGCTGTATTATTAGTATCAACTAAAAGTTCAATAGGTTAACTACCTGCACAATGGTTGGCGAAGAAAACCCAAACATTTCAAAGCCATCAAGACTCCCAGGAGGCTGTAGAGGAGGAAGATTCGTTCTTCCCAATTTATGTTGCTTTGTTATCTCTTGATTAACTCGCTCTCTCACCATTTCCCAGCATCTGGAGGTCGAAACATGAATAAATACTTCACTTGGACAATGCTCCACAGAAACCTGAGAAATATTGCCTTGACGCGTGATGATGATGATCAAGAAAACAATTGACAAGTTTACCCAAGCCTACCAAAATTTTCAGATCTTTCCAGTTTGTTCACTTTACAGAATACATTGCACTAAAACTTCTATAATAAGAACATAGTTCTAAACCAGATACCAAAATTTTCAAATCTTAATTTACTAGATTTGTTAAAAATTCCAAAAGTACTGTTACCCACAACAGAGAGAAAAAAGAGAATGTATATAGGTGTGTGTGTGTGCACAGCAAAGGGACCAACCGATCAAGCACAAACCCTAACACACTTGTCATGGAATTTAGAATATCTATCCATTATATTGAAGCTATTAAAAGCACCAAGTTGGATATGTTTGCAATGAAGACAATACTCTCAATTGGCAATGTAAAGAGGAGAGTAAGAGGGTATTTAGGATCGCTAAAAGAAATGTGCTAAAACTAATAGATGTTTAAGAACTTAAAATCCAGATGTTGAGATAAAAAAGTATGTCATTTTCGTATTTATTGTCAAAAATAAAGAAATAAATATTCTCACGTATTTAATATGTATTAATTTGTATATATTCCTATTTTTATTTTATTTTTATGTAACCTAACTCTGATACCATAAACGTATATGAAAAAATATTCAAGGGTGATTTTATTAAGAACAAAAATCGTGTTACTTATAATGTTAGAAGATATTACGATGCACAGTTCTAATCTTACAGAGTATTATGCTGTAGAACCCTAATGATACAAATATATATATATATATATCAGAATAGTAAATTATACAAATTAAAATACTGATTAAATATATGAGTATCCCCTTAAAAATAAATATAAGAAAGTAAATAAGAACCAAATATATAAAGACAATGAATGCTATAAGTTTATACAGAAAGAAGTTCAAAAAAGTTGACGAAAGATGCTTACTCTTTTTCCTAATTAAAACCGCTTATTGGCACATAATAAGCACTTTGTTTCTTAGATCACCAAACAGACCGATTTAAATAAGGTGCTTAAAAGTATTTGCAATATGAAATAAGCGTCCAAACCATCTAAGATGAATAAGCCAATATTGACGATTAGCCATTAATGCAGGCCTTTCTCATCCTTCATTTGTTTAAGGATCAGAGAGAGCATAAATATATAAAAATTTCCTTTAAATTATCTCCTATTGTTTGGAAGCTATCAGAAGCACTAAATTTGAAACATTTGCAAGGAAAAACACACTCTCAAGTGGCAATATCAAGAAGATGAGTAAGACAATACCTAATGTAAACCACTTTTCAGGTTTCTTTCATATTTCTTCCCTCGAATAAGGACGGGAGTAAGGGCGGAAGTAACAAAGAAAATGGAACACATTTCTAATTAAAAAAATATACAACACAAAACAGCCTAAGAATGCATAAAATGTTGGCAGTTTGAGTGAAGTTTCTAATTACCATGAATAGAGGATCATTGCGCCCAGCATCCAGGATTTCTGAAACATAATAACACATACTTGTCGGGTCTAAAACATTTATGTACTTGACGCGGCTTCTAAAACCTGCATCAAATAGGATAAATATGCATAAGGGCATGTAACCATTTCGTTTTTTTTCAATTAACAGAATCAACTCCCTGCCTTTAAAATTATGCTCTCTGTGGAGAGCTCTTACTGTATACCTTTGGGGAATATGGCCAAGCTGTTACACCATGATTTCCCAGAGAGCACAGATCCAAATTCTAAGGGCTCAACATTGCAATTTATTCTCCGCACTACCTTCGCAATACGAGGACCCTTCTGCCGGAAGCATCTATCTGGATTATTTTGAGAGCAAGATGGGCTTCCCGTATTAATTCTGACACTGCCAACAAAATCTGAGATGGTAGTTGCTCCAACCTTTTCATGCTTATCTCCATTATTTGGTTTTTCATCACCGTGTGGATGCAGATGCTTGATGTAACTCCCAACAGTTGCACTGTTATGATCACCCATCTCCTGATTATTTGAAGAATTCTGAATGTTTCTACCACTTTCTACACTGGCAACACCTACAATGGTCATAGAGTTTGTGGAGTCAGATCCCGAAACTGTGGCAACATCTTCAGGCTCATCTTTAGCTTGCACAAAATGACGTGAACAATTATTACTTCCAACATCAGATCTACAACTGACATCCTTCCGAGACATTAGTGTTGCATCCGTCAGAGACATTGGTATAGAAGGATCTTTGCCTTTACTGTTGTCAGATTGTTCCAACCTCTGAGGAAGCTCCAAATGCCTTTCAGAAGATTTTTCTTCTGCTTTTCCCGAAACTGGCTTCTTGGGTTCTTCATCTTCATCATCACTGAGGAGAATAATGTTATCATATCCAACCACTAAAGGCTTCTCCACTCCACATTCCTTTGCAGCCAAGTCTACAGCATATGATGTGTCTTCTTGAGATAAATGGCAAACCTTGTTTTTAAAATTGGATGGTGGAAGAATCAATTCCTCTTTGTTGGAATTAGAACAATGATTTGCCATCTCAGTTCCACGAGAAGAATCATGAAATGTCAATGGTGCTTTTGCATTTCTCGTGGTTGAATTAGTAGTGATGTCTTTGGAGATTGTTTTCATCTGTAAATCTCTCAGGAAATTGGCTGTTGATTCCGCCCTTTCTTCTGGGGGGAGAGAGAGTTTACCAACATGCATTTTTTCACGGGAAATATATGAACTCAGGGCCAATCCAAGATCCAGTCTTGCCCATCTATATACTGCACTTAATTTTCCTTCCAATGCCTCAACAAGGATATTAAGTTCATTGATTTCATAGCGGAAGAGAAAAAATTTGGCATCCCAACCGCATGAACAGAACTGCTTCGCATGATTCAAGCAAGCATATTTATCTGGCGAACACTGACAACCAGCAGCAGAAAGATGCAAGTCGAAAAGGCATAAACTGCATTCTCTCTCACTAGTAGCATCAAAATTGCTCTCCATCTTCAGCGTCTTTGAAGGATTGCAGAGGAATTCCCTCCAGACGCGTTCCATCTCCACTCGTTTCTATATAGATAAAAAAGAGTGAAAAGTGTCACAAAAATATAAATGATACACATATACAAGGAAAATATGTATTTCTTAGCTAGAAGCTTAGATCTAACTGAACTGCAGATATTTAGTAATACAGTTACAAAAATACTGATTTGTTTTTCAATTAGTATCTCTTATTTCTCCATACGGCCAAACCAAAATAGCTCCAGAGCTTCAGGTTAATTCTACCACTTGAGAAGTTTGAGAGTTCTGATTATAAGTATTTTTTCCTATAAATGGATCAACTCAATGAATAAATAAATTAGAATGGACACGTTTACCTTGAGAGCTATTGCCAAGACCCCATCCTTTCCACATAACTCTTTCCACCGCAAGTTATCCACAGTATTTTTCTTCAGCAAGTTAAGCTCCCAATGAGCTCTCACTGCTTCCCTTGCCGCCCCAAGCAGCAGTTTATCATGGGAAATGGAAGTTCTTCGACCCTGTTCCCGGTATAGCTCTATGGCAATCTGTCCATGAGGTAACCAGTCAACAGGAGCCACATTTACTGCTTCCGCACAGTTGAAACCATGATTAAACCCTGCATGATATGCTCGGGGAAAGGTAAGAACAAACTCTCCAGCATTCTGAATGCACCGAAATACAGGTACCCCTTCAGCTTTCAGTATAGAGGGGGAGAGCTGTGTGACCTGCAAGAAAGAAAAAGTCCCGGGTAAAACATCAAATATAAGAGGAAATGCTTTCTTAAAGATCTCCGTTTTTTTCCATCTGTTTCTTTGGGGAAAAGGGAAGGAAGATCTCATTGCATTATCTTCAATTTAATGTAAAGACATAGACGTTCTTCATATTACTGTGCCTAGGTTAATGCAACCTTAGAGAACTGGGGGCATCCAGGGGGTTGTTGGTGATTGTGAGGGACGGTAGAAGAAAGTATTAAGTCTATAAAAGAATAGAAAGAATTCTTAGACGATTAAGTGTGGGAAAAAGAAAGCTTTGTCGCTATTAAAGGATGGGAACAACTCTTCTTAAATCGGAGACTAACAGTAAATGATTCGCTACCAAAAAATATGTATCCACTATGGAATAAACAATAGTCAGAGAATCACTGGATGTACATATATAAGCTCACAAGTTGGAGTTCATGCATTACTTACGGACGTGAGCCAAGTTAACTATGTCCAAGATGAAACAAGAGGTCAAGTAAGCAAAGCCACACAGAAGTATCAAACATCATAGCATACAGAAAATACTTACTAGCTTATGAAGTAAGTCAGGTTGCTCCTCAAAAAGTTCAGGCAAATGCTTCCGCATGGTCGCCTCCAGTTTAATGGCATCTTTCCCAGGGACACCGTACCACATTTTCGGAGCACCCAAATGCATGTAATTTAAAGAATATAAGTGGTGATCTTCAACATGCTGTGCACATAGAAACGAGTAGAAAACAGGAAGAAAAAAAAAATCAGCTGAAGCAATAAAGATAAATGAATTATTTCTCATGACCAAGAACTCCCATACTTTTGATTTCAAACAGACATAATTTATTCAAATAGCAAACAAGACAGATTCTTAGTTTGGCAAGACCTTATTGACCACTCATTTTTCTCCAATCATTTCCAACTCTGCTGTCTCAATAATTTGGCATTTTTATTTCAGAGAAGTGCATTAATCATGACCAATATACAAAAGACATATATTAAATGCAGGGACTATGTACAAGAAAGAAAAATATCTACTGGAAACGAAGAATCCTGAAAAAAAGA